TTTTCAACAAAGCTGTTGACCGGGTCCTCGCAGCCAGGAGGTTTCCATCCCTCACAGAAGGACTCCCCGACTCATTCCCGACAGGTAACCAGAATGAACGGCCGGTGCTGCCACGGCTAATAGATACGAAGCTGCTGCAAACCAGGCCAAAAGAGACGACCATCGTTTCGGGCCTTGCCCGCAAAATGGTCGATAGAAGCAACCTGAGATAGCGTGAGCTTGCTCAATTCGGCCGCAAAAAAAGCACATGCGCGAGGTTATCTGTCAGATGTGGCAGGCTAGAAGCGCGAAGCCCGCAGGTGTTCTCAGATCGAGGGGGTTGTGCTTGCATGAAACTGGCCTGCCTTCATCCAAGCGATGCTGGACATGCTGCGACCAATGCAAGATGTCCAGGGTTGCTGTTGCATATCCAGACGACAGCAGGGCATGGGTGAGGACGGCTTTGCCGGCGAACACATCTATCGCATCGTAAACCTGAAACCAAAACGGGACTCAACCCAATGAGAAGACAGACAGCTGCCCATCCGACTTTGTGTCTCCATGCCAGCCTCATCCCACTGCAGGCCGTCCGTGTAAGCGAGCAGCACAACCGATACCATGAGGACCTGGAGTCAGCATCTTTGCAACATTGCAGGATTGCAGGATTGCCTGACAGTAGTGGGAGTAGTAGTAGTAGTCGTCGTCGTCGTCGTCGTCCTATAGCAGTAGTAGTCGTCGTAGTAGCAGCAGTAGTGATAGTAATAGACGTAGTAGTAGAGGCGGCAGTAGCAGCAGGAGTCGTAGTATAGTATCGTTTAGAAGTCGTATTAATGATAGTAGTGGACGTAGAAGTGGTCGTGGTGGTCAAAGTAGCAGTATAGTCGTAGCAGCAGCAGCAGCAGCAGCAGCAGCAGCAGACGAGTAGTCTCGTACATGCACAAGCAAAAATGCACGTACTCCCACTACTGCTACGCCACCCCTACTATGCTAGCCCGAGGCCCCCCATAGATCCGAATGACAAACAACCCAGTGAAGCCCTGCTGTATCTACAAATAAACAAACCTGCACGAATCCTGCTCGGCACCAACTACGACCCTGCAAGCCTCCACCAAGACTCGACAATCCCCAAACCCAAAAACAACGACCTGATAAACCCTGAAATGAAAATAAAGCCCTGCTATGATCTTCCCTTTGTATTTAACCGTCGGAAGAACGACCCTGCAAGCTTCCAATCACAGGACTCCAGCGACCGATGCTTGGGAATGGACGCGCTGCAGGCTTTTGCAGTGAGCACAGGGCTTAAATGTTATTTGGGTTCATGCTCTGACACTGCTGGCATGCACTTCTATCACGCACCAAATCTCACAACCCTGGGGTTAGGGTTTGTATATGTTACATAATATAGGGTTTTAGGATTTCTAGGGCTTCCAAGGTGTGCCCGAAAGTAAAGTCGAACCCCACAAGCCCTGTATACACCCTGCAATCCCCAACCACTTCTCAACACCCAAAGCAAGGATCCCTGGGCCAAATGGACTCGAAGTCGATCTGTTTCATGCTAGCCACTATACCCCGAAAACCGGATGTTGGCTTTGATAATTACACTACATAGATCGTTAAGAAAGAGCTTTGCGTGGACTTGCACTGTCGTCGCATCGTTTGCTGGTGGTGTTGTTCTTCTGGCTGTTGCTTTCGCTCTTGATGTTGCTGTTGTCGTTGCCGCTGCTGTTGTTTGTGGTGGCGGTGGTGGTGGTGGTGGTGGTGGCGGTGGTGGTGGTGGTGGCGGCGGTGCTGGTGGTGGTGGTGGTGGTGGTGGTGGTGGTTGCTGGCGTCCTTGCGATGGCTGCTATTGCAAGCGCTGGTTGTTGGGGGGCTGTTGTTGCTGGTGTTGCAATTGTTTTCACGGTACTGTCATCTGCTATCTAGCACTACCACGAATGCAGCAAGTGCTTTAATAGCAACACGCAACAACTGCGAACACTGCTGAATAAATGCTGCTGGGTTGGTCCTCCTTTGCAGGGTTGGCAAGATTGAAGCTTTGATAGAGGTTGCTTCAAGTGTGTGTTCGACGAACTGCAAAGTATTGTCAGTGCTGGCAAAGAGCCCCGGGAGCACCCATGGCCCAAAGTCGATGAAGCAGCCAATGAAGCTTATCCCGACACATCGCCATTGGTTGGGCACAGGGGTTGGGCTCCTAACTCAACAAAATGCTGGAGGTCCTGAGAGTGTTCACGGCACAAATCACAATAAGCATTGAAGCACAGGCCCGGCATCTCACCGACACACAAGCAATGACTGTCGTGACAACTCGAGCAGACATGTTGGGGAAGGGCGCACCGGAAGACTCCTCGCCACATCTCACCCGCTGGCGCCAGGCTCTCATTGCCGATGTCAGCTGCTTCAACCTGGCACGAAGGCAGGGTGGGAGTTTGTTCGAACTAGATAAACCGGCTTTCTCCAGACTTGGCTTGCATTGCACAGACACACTCACTTTTGCTGCCCTCGGTTCTGCATAAGATCGGCTGGTCGAGCAGCCAGATTCTCGCAATCAGGAGTTCCCCATAACACAAAAGATCGATGCCGGCATGGCCCGATTGGTTGAGCCCGTTGTGAGAAAGTTACACCCCAGAACGTGTGTAGATGTACACATGTTTGTTTCAGGACACACCCCCAATCCTCGCCATGCTCGGCACTGCCCCTGCTAGCAAGGATGTCCCTGCTTGCAACACACCATTGAAACTCGCATGCTGTGAAAACAACATCTGCATGGCCATCTGAAGGCGACGAACGATGCTTCATCTCGCGGCTGCCATGCCTGGGATACGGGAGGCGGTGTGAAAAGCCGAGCAATGTTTGGCGAGTCATTTCCGAGCTATGTAGCCTAGATGCATCGATTGTCCGGAAGCATTCTTGAGATGTGTGGATGCACTGCTTCATTGAAACAAATGTAGTAGAGATGCTTGTTGGAAGGTTTCGCATTCGACAGACAATGTGCATGGAAGACAATTGCCAAACTCCATACACAACACCTGCCCCCCAAACCAACACCATATAAAGACATATAGGCATATAGAGGATCCCCTCCACTGTGTTTACGTAAACTCCTACATCACCTCATGCAGTCTATCATGAACCACGTCACCTGGCTTGGCAGCTGCACGAAGATTTCTCCGGCCATCACACATCGCCGTTGGGCTTTCACTTCTTGGCCTTCTTGGCCCTCTTCGCACGGGCCGGCTCGGGGGCCACCGCGGCTTCATCAACCGCCTCAGCAGCCTCCTCGGGAGCATCACCGGTCGCTGCAGCCAGAGCCGCAATGTACGTTGGGTCCTTCTTCATCTGATTGCAATTGCGGCCCCTGAAAGTCTCCTTTTGGCAGCTCTTGCAGCCAAACCAAAGGAAACGGCATCCGCCACATCCGAACTTCTGGTTCGACAGGATCTGGTACACCCACCTTGTGTCCGACAACCAGATGTGCTGCTGCACATCGTGATCAGCGCTCTCGCCCTCGGGCACCTTGGCCTTCCGGCCCCTGCGGCGGCGGGGCTCCACTGCCTCGGCATCATGGGCCGGCACCGGCTCCTCTTTCGGCTCAGTCGGCTCGTCCACCTCGCCGCTCGCTGCAGCTGCCGGCTTCACCTTCTTCGCCTTGCCCTTGGCCTTGCCCTTCTTGATGCTCACGCGGGTGCCCACATCCACCGTATCCGTGCTGCTTCGGGCACCGGAGTCCGCGGCTGCGCGCACCCTCTTGGCCTTTGGGCCCCGCTTGCCAGGACCGCGGCGGCCCTTCATCCTCTTGTCCGCCGCCTTCTCCCGCTGCATAGCGGGCGTGACTGTCACTGCCACCTTGCTCGGCATGTCTACCTTGCAGGGCACTGACTGGACCATCCTTATTTGAAGCTAGGTCCTGCTTTAGGTACCGTCCACAAACAAAGCCGAACCTTCTCAGGCGTCAAGCTTGGCGGGGCCATAGAGGTAGGGCTCGGGGTAACCACCGAAGTCGGGGCCGAAGAAATCGCACCGGAAGAGTCTTCCGGAACCTGGGTCTCGACCTGTCTGTGTTCAACCCTCAACTTCATTCCTTGAACATGCACAAGCCATGTCCCAAGATTCCCTATATGGCCTGGTCGGGACTGATCGGCTCCTCAACTTTCTCGTTCGTCTTGATGCATGGGCCTGCATAGGCAACTATACGTGTGCAACTTCCTGAAACACTGCCCTCAGGGTAGACTGCACGGACTTTTGTGACACGACAACAACACAGCACTATACATACAACAGATATGGACAACATACTACAGATAGGAACACTGGCCCAGACCGGATATGGCCTCGGACTTCCAACTTCGAGGCCGGGGTCGTGTTCACACTCGGGGTGGGACTCACAGTCGAGGTCGGGGACCGCTCAGCTGGCTCCTTTCGCCTAAGTGGGGCAATGCTTGTATGATGCAAAGCAGCTAATGTGACTTGAAGGGAACTGGGACATTACTGTAAGCAGATCGAAGGACTCGAGGGTCAGCCGGTTGATTTGCTCAAGAATCTTAGCCAACTCCTCCTTCTGCTCCTCGGACATCTCAGGGGGGATGGAGAACTCAGAGGGGGCGGCTGAGGCTGTCGGGGATGCCAGCTCGCTGACGGTCTCGAGCGAGCGCTTGGAGCGATACCGGTGCACCGGATTCTCGTGCCCAGCTTCGTGGGCTTCCACTCCATCGGCCCCTCCTTCGGCAGCCTCTTCGTGGGCTTCCATTCCATGGGCCTCTCCCTCGGCCGCCTCTTCGTCCACATCGGCCTCTCCTTCGGCCGCCTCTTCCTCTTCCATTCCATCGGCCTCTTCACCATCATCACCCTCCATCACATCATCTTCATAAAGATCGGCCTCATCGGCCGCATCACCCTGCACTTCCATCTCCTGTGCCGCGATGTTTGCGCGGATGGCTTCCACGCGCCTGAACAACTCAGCCACCTGAGGATCCTGCTGCAGGGAGAATCACGAATTCAATGACAGAACCTCTTGCTGATGACACACCTTCAACTGTCCGAAGCAACTTTACACAGAACCATCCAAACTCCGGTCCCGAGGATGCTGGCCACGTTTGAGGGCGTCCTGGGATCGTCGCCAAAGAAACGTCCATAGACGACGAAGATCCCAAGCATCCCAGTTAGCTTGCTGCTCCTGGCCCTTGGGGGGCACATACCCCACGTCATCGAACAGCTTCTGAACCTGAAGGGTGCCCCCAGAATTCTGAAGATTGTGAATAGCTAACCCAATAAACACACAAATCGAAAGATAGCAAACCTCTCGATCTCTCGATTAATAGAAGCAAGCAGACCTGTCCAGTCAGGTAAGCAATGTCCACGAACTCACCCGTGAAAACATCTAGCATCTTGTGGAGCACTGCAGCATTCAATTCCAATGCTCTTGTGCAGGGAAAGTGAGGATCCTTGGACGACGATGCTGGCCCTGGCTTGGCTTCCCTGCCGGGGATCGGCCACTGAAGCCACGGCAATTCACGGCGAAAACGTGATCTCACGGTCGCGCACGCTTCCAGAGCCGCGGCCAAGCACTTTTCATCCGAAGCAGCCCGGGCCATTATAACACAGACTCGATCACAGCTGTAATCACAGCACTCGAACAAACAAAACCCTCCGGAGAGAACACCACATAATTTGGTGCAAGCATGCCCGAGCGTGTCTGACACAACAGTGGATGCGCCAAAGCCAAATCAGCATGCCCTTTCCCGATATGTTTGCATAAAGTAAACAAGCAGGCTTTACCAGCATCATCTCTTCGCGTTCGCATTCCACCCATGACGAAAAGATCCTGCCAAAGAGAGAGGAGACGGGATTATTGGGGGTATATTTCCCTTATGTATCCTTTTAACAGCTATACAGCGATCAATCTTTGTGCAATGAACGGCACAGTGGCTCCTGACAGGTGCACCATCTGCGCTGCGGATGAGCGAGGGCCGTGGGGATCATGGTTTTGTCACAACGTATATGCCAATGCACAAGCTTACAAGTCTATCTTTCAGCAAACTCTATGGACACACTCATGTATAAGATTGCAAGAACCAACAATGTCACAGGATTGCTGCATGGAAAAAGTGCCTGTGAACCACAGAGTGAGCACTTTCCGTCGGTGACAGCACTTCTCCGCCAAGACCATCATTCCTGGCACTTTCAATAATGTATATTTAAAAGCAGCCATTAAGGCGTTCCAGGTAGGCCCTAAGCCCTAAACCGTACAAGTGCCCTAAACCCCTAACCCCCAAACCCCTAAACCCCAAACCCTAAACCCGAAACCCTATATGTGCCCTGAACCCCCCTCGGACGGCACGGCCAGGCCGACCCCGTGGCGGAGGCACCGTCCGGAGGGGCTTGGATTCGTAGAGGTTGCGCATGGAGGGCTTCGGTTCCTCGCAGACCGCCTGTGAGTGAGCATTCTTTACGCAGGTCCTTGGGGTGACGAGGCTTTAAGAGCCCAGTCGTGTCGAGAGGAAGATAATTATAGCAAGCAGAACGAAGCTGGATGTTGAGTTTGTCCCTATGACTGAATGTTCTAAAAGGGTGAGGTCAGGAGATCCGAAAGGTTCTGGGCCTTCTAGGTGGAGTGGGCAGGCTGCTGCACAACATGTGTGAACATTTTTACACCCGAATCTCGTTCGTCAAAGCAGGACAGCCGAACAGGGGTGAGTTTCGCGAGGCATCCTTTGCGGCTTTTGCGGCTTCAGTTTGCTTTCGCCATTGGCCTGGTCTGCACAGTGCAGGCCCTTGGCCGCAGCGAGCTTTCAAAGTATTTCCGTGGCCCGTACCTGAGAGGTGCGAGCCTTAGACTAAGGGGAATTGATAGTTTGAGCTGGGTGACTTCGTCTGTGGTTGATGATCTTGCGCCACCGCCACGGGAGCGACTAGCATAAATTCATAAAGGAGGATGAAGTTGGCGCATGTGTGTCATATTCAGACTCACAGTTTTCGGAAGAGGATTTTTGGATATTTTGGGCTTGGGGTTGATGGAGGTAAAGCAGCAGTATACTGGGTAGCCGGGGCAAGAACGCCACATGTCTGCGACTTGTTGGGCTACACTTGCCTCTTTTTTGTTGACGGAAACGAGTTCTTCGGACTGGTTTCAAAAGGCTGGATGTGCTGCGTGAAACAGGTGGGGTCTGGTCTTCTACCGCCCAGTCTTCGACCTTAACTTATCTTAACTTGTTGGAATCCAGAGCATCTATTGTGATTGGCTCCGGAGCGAGATCGACAAGGATTAAAGGCTTCACGATCCTGATGCTTTGACTGCTTCGAATCAAGCTTGAGTCAAGACCCCGAGGCAGGGCCAAAATTGGTGAAGAGCATCCGCAAACGCTGGAATCGATGAACAACTTGGCTTCGCTGCTGCAGGCTCTGTTGTT